TCTCTCTCTCTCTCTCTCTCTCTCTCTCTCTCTCTCTCTCTCTCTCTCTCTCTCTCTCTCTCTCTCTGAAAGAAGAAGAAGGAGGAGGAGGAGGAAGGAAGAAGAAGAAGAAGAAGAAGAAGAGATGGAGGGCGAAAATAGGAAGAAGAAGAAGATGCCGTCCTCCTCGCTGCCTCACCTGCAGGTAACTGCTGCCATGTACTAACGCGCCAGGCGAGAAGTCCTCTGTGCTGTGCAATCAGACTCGACTTATTCACACTTTTCATGCACGTGAACAGCAGACAACAAACTGGCGCCATGCGCCCACACAGAACTTAGAGATATGGCTTCCAAGTAACAGTTCGCTTCCACTGACTATGGCGACTGCGCGTGTCAAACAACTCACTGTTCACACTCCGGATCACCCTGGATGTCCCACACGCGATACTCAGAACACACACATAGTACACACACTCTGCACCCTACACTAAGCTATGGCAGCTATGGCTGCTGCTACCTATCGCTATGACTACCCTGCTTCACTCTCGCCTACTTCGTCTTTGGGCCTTCAGCAGACCTCCTTGCACAAGACGCTGAAGCAGCGCTTCCGCATGGCTTCCGCATGGATGCATGAATGGCTGGGCGCAGCCTCTTGATTTATACTTTTGTGCTGCGTTGGTCTGCCCTGTACCCCTGGCCCATCGTGCACACAGTCCCAGACGGTACTTGCTGGACTGGACCGGACTGGGTGGACTGGGACTGCTGACTGGACTAGGTGGACTACCACCACTTGACCACTTGCCTCTGCTGAACGCAGACTCACTCCGAAAGGCCACTTCAAGAAACCTCTAACTTGGCCTTTCGGTACTGTAGCAGCTACGACCTTGCCCTTTCAGGTAAGTAGCAGCTACGACCTTGACCCTTCAGGCAGTCTACAGCTACGACCTCTAACTGTCTAGACTCCTACCCTACAGGTCTACAGTTCGAATACCTTCTACCCTGTGACCTACGGAAAACTACCTACCACTGGCGGTACTRCAGGTAGCAGGTTCAAATCTACGGGTTGACGCCGGTACTGTACACARGTAAGGTGGGGAACTAGGGATCGAGCCCTGGGATCTGCATAAGCTACTGCGAACTGGTGAATACCGTTTCACTCCCGCCGGCCTAAATTCGAGGTCCTCCGAGAAAATTTCAGTCCAAGGCAGGACCTTTACCTCTCTGTTGTCTTTCGGAGGCCCGGACTATATCGGGAGCTGTCTCTAGAAGTTCAGATCTCGTAAACCAGCGGTCGTCTTCCGGTTCTTGATAACTAAAATGAACCTTGTACTGTTTCTGCTGACGACCCCTGCCTCCAGTTCTGAAGACATCTTCAGCCACTATACCATCAATGTCATATCTTCCATCCATATCCGGTGGGATCATGGATCTACGGGATGGAAACTGATCACTTGTTTGACAAGGGAGTAACTTCGATGCATGGAAAACTGGGTAAGTGTGGAGGTGTGCTCAGAGTTCTATGGTATAGGACGGTCCATCTTCGCCGCCCTTGACTTCTAGAATGGGCCACGGTCCTCTATATGTGGGCAGTAACTTCTGCAAGATGTTCTCCTCAGGTGCAAACTCCTTAGAACTGACCCAGACTAAGTCGCCTACTTGAAACTGTGAAGGGCGACGATGCTTGTTCGCTTGTTCTATCATCCTATGCTGGGCCTTCCTGAGGTTCTCTACAACAGTAGCTAGTTCTTTCTCGTGCTGTACAGCAAACTCCCTGGTCCCGGGCGGCAATCTATGAATCTGATCCCGATTGAGTCCTTCAAACGGTCTACGGGGCCTAAAGGACTTGTGCAGTTCAGTGGGAGTGCGGCAGGTGGACAGATGTACGCTGTTATTATACGCACTAGCTACTTTAGGCAACATCTCATCCCAGTTAATCTGATCTGGCCTAATATACATGCGCAGAACTTGCTGTAGGATCTTGTTCATCTGCTCGGTCTGACCATTAGTCTCTGGATGGCGGTCGGACGACATCAACAACTTAGATCCATATACTCCCATGAGTTCTTGCTAGTTCTGGCTAGTAAAGCGATTATCTCTATCGCTAACTATAGACAGTGGAATCCATTCTCACTCACCCAACAATCAAAAAACCTATGTATGACTAAATCAGTACGTGCCTTTGAAGGCAAAGGGATAAAAACTGCGTACTTACTAAAACGGTCGACTACGACCATGACTTGGCTCTTGCCATGCCTGCTCTTGACTTGGGTGTCCATGAAGTCTATGGACACTGAGTCTCCTAGCTGGTCTGGAATGGGCAAGGGTCTGAGAAGACCTAACGACACTTGCGTGCTCGTCTTGTTACGCTGGCAAACCTTACAACTGCGAACATACTCTACGCAGTCATTCTTCATCCCCGGCCAGGTATACGCGCGCATCAGATTGGCTAAAGTCTTCTGCCAACCAAAATGACCCTTTGTGTCGTGGCATTCCCCCAAAATCAGACTATGAATCTTTTCGCTACTGGGAATGCACAGGCGGTCAAATACATTGGTCTTCTCGAAGAGCAACCCTTCAGTAGTGCGGTAGTTCGGCGCAGTCTCTGGGGCCTCCTTGACTCTCTTGAGGAGGTCACTATAGATAGGGTCCTGCGCATAGGCTTCTCTAATCTTCTGCTGCAGGTCCTTCCCTATATCTAGGTAATGCACTATTGCCCCAAAGTAATCATCTCTCTTACTCAGCGGATCCGCAACTACATTATAGTTTCCTTTGACTGGCTTGAGCTCAAAATCGTACTGATATATCTCTGCGGCCCACCTAGTAAGCTTAGGTGTCATCTTGGCCTGCGTCTTTAACCATCTTAACGTCTCATGGTCTGAGTAGACTTTGAAGTGCCTCCCAAGCAAGTAGTGCTTCCAGTGGTCTAACGCTTGCCTGAGAGCGTAGAGTTCCCTCTCATAGGTAGATGTCGCGACCTTCTCTGAAGGCATCCTGGCGGACATGAACTCTACGAGTCTATAACCATTGCCATCGTCTTGATGTAACACGGCACCTATGCCGTACTGACTAGCGTCCGTAGTGACGACAAAGGGCAAGGACGGATCGGCGACCTTAAGGACTGGATACTCTATCAACGCCTGTTTTAACTTCTTCATAGCAGACGTGCAGTCCTTATCCCACTTCCAGATGGTCTCCTTCCTGAGCAATCTGCGAAGGGGCGCAGCGATGGTAGAGAAGTTCCTCACGAACTTCCTGTAGTAGTTTGCCAGGCCTAAGAACGACCACAATTCTGTCAACGTTCGCGGTGTTGGCCAATCTCTAATCGCTGCAATCTTACTATCTTCCGGCTTGATGCCGTCTCCGTCTAAGACGTGGCCTAGGTACAAAACTTGGGTCTTTTCCCAATCGCACTTCTTTACATTGATCTTAAAGTTAGCTTCCCTCAGCTTCTCCAAGACCTGTCTGAGATGACCCTGATGCTCTTCAAGGGTCTTACTAAACACTAAAATATCATCTAAGTAAACTACGACGAATCTGTCTAACCATGGCCTAAACAAATCATTCATACACCGCTGAAAAGTTGCTGGCGCATTGGTTAGTCCAAAGGGCATCACTATAAACTCATAATGCCCGTACCTAGTCCGAAAGGCTGTCTTATACTGATCATCAGAATGTACCTCTATCTGATGATATCCGGATTTTAAGTCTATCTTAGAGAAATACCTGGCCCCCTGCACTCGATCTAAGAGATCGTCTATCCTAGGCAATGGCTCAGCATTCTTCACTGTAATAGCATTCAGACCCCTATAGTCTATGCACATTCTCAGCTCTCCCTCTTTCTTAGGAACAAAGAGAACAGGCGCTCCGAAAGGAGACGAACTGGGCCTAATCCAACCCTTCTCGAGGAGCTCGTCTAATTGCTTGCGAAGCTCCTCTAACTCCCGTGGGGACATCCTATACACAGCGCCCTTAGGAGTTCTACTGCCAGGCTCTATCTCAATGCGGTGTTGGATGGGTCGCGGTACTACTCCTGTCGGTGGCTCAGTTAGATCCTTGAACTCTTCCAGCACCTTGGCAATCGCAGGGTCCATCGGCTTTTCTTCCGTAGGCTCAGTCACTGGCCTAGCATAGGCAACAAAAACATGTTCTTCCAATTTCTCCTTTTTCACCAATCTGGCGAACGCAGGAGCACTAAGACAGCAATGTGCCAATGGATTCTCTACTTTGGACACATGGAACAGGCGGGCAGTCTTGGCCTCGCCTGAAGAACTAGGGAGCCTACACTCGTGCTCCTTCAAATGGAGCGTGGCCCCGGCTGCCTCTCCCCAATCCATTCCCAGAACAATATCAAATGGGAGGCTGTCCTCTACGAGAAGAATCAGGGAGTGGAGGACCTTCTCCACTTTCCCATCTTTCTCTAGGCGGAAATACGCCTGGACTCCCTCTACGTAATCCTCTACAACCATGGTACGATTGTTTGCGAGGATACTAACTATAGGGTCTGCTAGCTTTTGGACTTTAAGTCCCAACTTCAACTTCTGCAGCGCCTTCTTACTAATATAGCTGCGGGTGGCCCCTGAGTCTACTAGGGCCCGTACTCTGCGTCTAAAAATTTTTGTATCTACTAATATAAGCTGCCCTTTATTCTCCTTGCTCATCTTGGCCCAGGCGGGCATCCTCTCCTTCAACTCTTCAACCACGCCTGTGAGGGAGGTGTCTAGAGAGACTCTAACATAAGCAGTCTCTGGACAGCCATCTAGACACCGGCCTGCAACCTCTACCATAGGCACATGTGGTGTGGGAGTCTCCTGCCGGCTAGCGTTGTGTTCCCCACATGGCCTAATGGTAGGGGCAGTTGCTACCCCTACCGGCAGCTTCCTTTTGACCCTTGAGCAGCCGTTTGGGTCTCTCGATACTTAGGACAGTATTTGATGATGTGGCCCGGGTCACCACAGAAAATGCACTGGCCCCGGTCCAATCGTTGTTGCCATAAAGTCTGGTCCAGACCCAAAGTTTCCCAAGGCTTACCCTGCGGCAACCCCGGGTGCCATCCTCCTACCCTATAGGGAGACCTATTCCTAGGACGGTTTTGCGGGGGACCTTGACCCCTGTCTCCCGCTTGGCGGTTTCCTCCTCTGCCGCCAACCCCCTGATCGCCTTGGAACCGGCTCCCTGAGGCCCAGCCCCCTTGGCCCTGGCCTCGTCCTCCTCCTTGCGGCCTTCCTCCGGCCGCGACAGCAGCGTAAGATCTCCCCTGGCCCACACCGTTGTCCTCCTCCTCTAACCCCCACTCAATCTGATCGTAGGGGATCTCGTCCACACTACCCTCATCTAAGGTTAGGACAAGACTATCCTTAGTCTTCACTTGCCCAGAAATAGTGCGGCCCTTCCACTGCTTTCCCTTATCCAAATCTTTGTGCCAGAAGATGGAGACTAACATAGACTTGGCCTCAAAGGCCACCACCTCACGGCTAAGGGAATCGTAAGTGGTGGCAGGGTCTTCGCTCTTCACGAAGAAGTGCCCGCGAAAAGCTTCGGGCATAGCTCTGTAAAAGAGGGCGACCAACTGGTGTCTGTAACCCCGTGGTCAGGGACAGCTATTAGTTCGCCCATTGTGCTCTTGAGCGCTCTGGCACTCTTCCACTTACGAGCATGAATCGTTTGGAGCTTGTCTGAGGCCTTGACACTTCAAGTGACATCAGCAAATCGCTCGCGCAGCAGCTTCAAGAATTCAGTGAGGGAAGTGAACGAGGAGTACGCAACTGGATCGTCACTACAGTTCGCAGCGCGAACTAGGGACCTTGCAAAGTTGGCGGCTTCATCTCTAAGCGCGTGAATCGCAATTAGAACCTGCTGATCTTGGGAGACTTGTTGCAGATGCACATAGGTCTTGACATTGGCCTCCCAATTGTCAAAGTTTTCTTCCCGTTTTCCATTGTAGGAATCAGGGAATTTGACTTTGATCGGCTCCCGGCGAGGAGGACGTGCTTCCTCCTCCTTGGGGGCTGCCGCCTTGACGCCCTCAATGGCGCCAGCGCAGAACCGCTCAGTCTTGTCGAGGCGGTGGCCCACCTCAGTGCCTATAGCGCCTACCAACTCTCGAGCAAAGTCCCGGAATCCCAACTTTATTGAACGCACAGCTATGTGTTGACTCCTACTAAAGTCATATTGCTCCGCCTGAATTTGTGCCAGGCGTGCAACATTTCGAGCTATGACTCGCATTTGGGCTGGGAGTTCAATCTGGGCGGCTAGTTGCTCTTCTATCTTTTTTACCTCCTCTAATTCTTCTGCCGCCTCCGCTGCCGCGTCCACTCTCCTCTTCTTCTCCC